ATAAAAGAATAAAATAAATTCTTTTTATTTGTTTCATTTTCTTTAAATAAAATTAGTACTTAACGAGAAAAAAAATAGAGTTGACCTTGTCAACTCTGTGATACCCGTACGAATTTGTTATCCTATTTGCGAATAACTAATGTGCCATAACTAACTATGGGGCAGACTATGACTTTAAATTGCCGTATTACCATATTAATTTATGCAAAATTTCAGTACTATGTGTTATACAAAATACTGGTTGTGCCAAACTACTATTGATGTTGTATGGCAGCTACCAGAAAGGGCCAAGAAATTTTAGCGAATTTATCAAGCACATCGGCCCTACTAATATATTCACTTGTGTGAAATCTCAATATCACAGCTTTTATAGTTTCTGAGATATAGCCAAATAACTTTTGAAGTTGTATGGCAGGTACCAGAAGGAGCCAAGTAATTTCAACGACTTTTATGTGACACATTAGCCCTACTAATATATTTGTTTGTGTGAAATTTCAATATCATAGCTTTAATAGTTTCTGAAATATAGACAAATAATTTTGGAAGTTGTATGGCAGGTACCAGAAGGAGCCAAGTAATTTCAACGACTTTTACGAGACACATCGGCCCTACTAATATATTCACTTGTGTGAAATCTCAATATCACAGCTTTTATAGTTTCTGAGATATAGCCAAATAACTTTTGAAGTTGTATGGCAGGTACCAGAAGGAGCCAAGTAATTTCAACGACTTTTATGTGACACATTGGCCCTACTAATATATTCATTTGTGTGAAATTTCAATACCATAACTTTTATAGTTTCTGAGATATAGCCAAATAAATCTTGAAATTGTGTGGCAGCTACCCGAACCGGTACCCCGATCATGTCCAATTTAAATAGGGTTCTGGCACTTACTACAATAAATCATTTGTGAAAATTTGGTGAACTTAGCTCAATTAGTTCTTGAGTTATCGTTCGGACGGACGGACGGACGGACGGACGGACGGACGGACGGACGGACGGACGGTCGGACGGACGGACGGACGGACGGACAGACAAAGCTAAATCAACTCAGAATTTGACGCTGATCAAAAACATACACTTGAGTCCATATCTAGCACCGTTATTTCTTAGCGTTACAAACGGTAAGGCAAATTTAGTATACCCTTCGAACATATGTTCGTACGGGTATAAAAAGTAAGATAGGAAACTGGTGCAGTCGGTAGGATCGCCAAATCATGCCAATCGCAAAAATTTTTAAAAGTTTTTTAAAATACAACGCGATTAAAAAGAAACGCTAAATTTAACTATTGTGAAAAAGTGCAATAGATTTATAACAAAAAAAAAATTTTTTATTGAGCAATAATAAATAATAATAAAGGTGTCAGTTTTTTTTTTTTTTAAAAATTAGTGACGAGAAAAAGAACCTTAGAAAAAGAAAACGTACTTTTATATATATTAAAATCTGAATGAAACCATATGAAATTCCAGTAAGGAATCAAAAACTTAAACTCAGAAAAGAAAACTTCATTGAAAATTTAAAAAACATAAAATTAAATATATCAGTAAATCTAGAAGAAATTACAACTCGGGACTTAATAACTGAGGCAAGATCAGTTCCACCATTCAAAGGTGATGGCACCTTTGAGCTATCGTCATTCATCAATCAAGTTGATTTAATCATTGGTTCAACACCAGATCCAGGAGTGAAATTGTATCTACTCAGTATACTATTGTCAAAAAAACAAGGACCAGCGGCAGTTAGTATAAGACGTTTGGAAAGTGCAACTTGGGATGTCATCAAACAGCAACTGAAAAAGTCATTCGGGATTCAAGAATCCTATCTTAAGTTAAAAGAACAAGCCGGTTCAGTAAAATTTTTCAAAGTAAGTCAATTTTATAGTGATCTATCAAATATTCTAGATAAACTTAATATTAAATATAAGTTAGATCCCAATAGTCCTTTAGAATTTAATCCCAGTAATAACGGAAAAAGTATATTAAAAAAATTTCTCAATAAACTAAATAGGTCAGATAATATGTATTTAAGAATTAAAAACGTTAAATCTTTAGAAGAAGCCTATTACGAGCTTCTAGAAACTGGTATTTCCAATAATACAAATAATAGTAATAATAGTAACAAAAATTCAAATTCAATTCAAAAAAATAAAAATAATAATTTTTCAACATATAATAATCGTAGTAATAATTATTATTATACTCCCAACAACAAAGACAATAACAACAATTTTAACAACAATCATTCTAGTTTTCGAAACAAACATAATAATAAAAACTCTTTTTCTAATAATAATTTTAATAGTAACGACCATTACCGTTATAATAATAACCCAAGTAGACGATCAAATTATCGTTACCAGGGTAGTAGCAATAATCGAAACCAAAATTTTAGCAATAATCAAAATCATAACTACCAACGTCCAGAACCAATGGGTGTTGATATTAATTACTTTGAAGGAAAAAATTCTTCAAAAAATACTAAAGAATTATTAGAACAAATACAAAAAATTAGGGCACACAATACTATGCTACAAAACGAGCTAAAACAAAAAAATAATTATATAAATGAATTACAACAAACTACAAATTATTCTCATCAGGGAATTGAGAATGAAAATTTTCAATTAGAGCTTCGGAAAACCCTCTACCAATAACTATATTTACTATTAATAATAAAAAAATAAAATTTTTGATTGATACGGGTGCTACTACCTCTGTTATTAGCGATAAACTATTTCCTGAAATAAAAAGAACAAAATTAAAAGAACCTTTAAAAATATCTACATTATTTGGTACTAATAAAATTTTCTATACATTAATTACTGATGTGCCAATTGAGTTCAACCATGAAGCTCAAATGGTATGGTAAGTTTTGGACCTAAAAAGTAATAAATTTGACGCAATTTTGGGACAAAACATATTAAAAGCAATAGGTGCAAAAATAGATTTAGGATTAGAAACGATAGAAATTATGGGAAGGAAAACAAAATTTCAAAATTCCTGCCCATAGAACGATATAGTAGAACTAAACCCTATAAATTTAAAATCTTGCAGCATTCTTAATTATATAAAAACAAATCATCTCAACAACGAAGAATATAAAATATTGAAAAAAAATATATATTCAAATAAAGATTTATTTATCAGGATGGTCAGAAACTAACTAATATAAATTGTATAAAACACCAAATTATTACTACAAGCAAACTGCCTATCTATTCAAAAATATATAGGTTTCCCAAAATTCACGAGCTAGAGGTAGAAACTCAGGTAAAGGAGATGCTATCTCAAGGTATCATTAAACATAGTAATTCTCCTTACAACTCACCTTTTTGGGTTGTACCAAAAAAATTAGATCAGTCTGGTAGCCAAAAGCGGAGAATCGTTGTTGATTATAGAAAATTAAATGACATAACTATTGAAGATAAATTCCCTATTCCGAACATTGAGTCACTCTTTGATAAGTTAGGCAAAGCCCAATATTTCACCACTCTCGATCTCGCTAAAGGATTTCATCACATCCTTGTAGACGAAAAAGATCAACAAAAAACGGCTTTCTCAACTCCCCAAGGCCACTACGAATTTGTTAGCATGACATTTGGATTAAAGAATGCTCCTGCAACATTTCAAAGAATGATTAACCATGTTTTTCGCGATTTCATAAACGTTAACTGTGTTGTATATCTCTACGATATATTAATATTCAGTACTTCTCTTCAAGAACATGAAAACGCTATTACAAAAATTTACGAGAGACTTAGAAGTTTTAATTTAAAAATTCAAATAGATAAATGTCTATTTTTTTCCAAGGAGTCGGAATATTTAGAGCATCTTCTCACTGATAAAGGAATTAAATCAATAAAAAGTTTTCTAGGCATTACGGGGTATTATCGTAAATTTATGAAGGATTATGCAAAAATTGCTCAAGCCTTAACTTATTGCTTAAAAAAGAATAATAAAATCGAAATTGATAATCCGAAGTATATCGCTGCCTTCGAAAAATTAAAGCAACTTATTACAAACCATCCAATATTAAAATATCCTAATTTTAACTAAAAGTTTACGTTGACTACTGATGCAAGCGACTTTGCTATTGGAGCTGTTTTATCGCAAAAAGGACATCCTATATCGTTTGCAAGTAGAACGTTAAACGATCATGAAACACGCTATAGCACTATCGAGAAGGAGCTACTAGCGATCGTCTGGGCTACGAAATATTTTAGACCCTATATTTATGGCGTTAGATTTACAATAAAAACAGACCATAGACCCTTGTTAATTTGGTTAAACTCTTTAAAAGAACCCAACTCCAAATTACAAAGATGGAGAATAAAATTAAATGAATTCAATTTCGATATAGAATACGTGAAGGGCAAAGATAATAAAGTTGCCGATTTTCTAAGTAGAATTAACTCTGAAAAAAATGAAATTAATATGTTGCAACGTAATGATGAGTTGGAAATTGAAACCGATATAGCTACAATTCATAGTGGCGTCGAAGATTTGGACGACCACATTCCGATTGTAGAAAATATCGTTAATAAATATTTAAAACAGATTCACCTTGTAAAAAATAAAACCAGCGAAATAATAGTGAAATATAATAAATATTATAAAATTTTTATATCTGAACAAGATTTATGCAATGTAAATTACTTAAACGATATTTTGAGGAAAACAATAAAAGAAGGTATAACTGCAATTTACTCCGAATTAGATTATAGTAAATTTAATATTTTACAGAAAAAATTAATTGAATTGTTTAGTAATAATAGAAAAATTAAATTAATTAAATGTACTAAATTAGCTCAAGATGTAGAAAATGAGGATGATCTCATTAATATTATAAAGGATTTTCACGAAAAAACTAATCATCGTGGAATATTAGAAAATTTTAATGAAGTCAAAGATCGTTATTTCTATCCAAAATTAAAAGATTTTTTTTATAAGTTCGTAAATAATTGCGGTGTTTGTAATTTAGCTAAATACGATAGAAAACCTATCAAATATAATTTTAATATAATCGAAACACCTCCTGAGTCAAAACAATTAGTTCATGTCGATACTTATTATTTAAAAAAAGAAGTATTTCTGACCACAATTGATAAGTTCACGAAACATTTGTATATTGCTAAATTAAATGATAGAAATAATGTAACATTAGTTCAGGCCCTAAGACAAAGAAATTCATTATTTGGTAAGCCTTTAAAATATATTTTTGACAATGAGTTTGATAATTTAAACATTAAAGATTTTTGTAGACTTGAAAATATTGAAGTTCACTTCACTTCGCCTAGAAGTCATACAGGAAATTCAGATGTATAAAGGGCTCAAGGAACTATTATTGAACATATTAGAATATTATCTTTAACGGAACCAAATTTAGATACAGAAACTAAAATTCTAAAAGCTGTAGAAGCTTATAATAATTCTATTCATTCGGTAACTAAAATTAAACCAATAGATTTTATTAATAATAGAATTTCAAATCTTCAAGAAATTAAAGATAGGTTACATCAAAATAAAGAAAAAATTATTACAAAATTAAATAAAGATAGAATACAATTCGAAATTCCAAATGAATCGGAAATATTAATAAAAAACCAGGCTATAGTTCGTCATAAAGAACACCCTCGCTACAAGAAAATTAAAGTGAAAAAATACACAAATAAAATCACTGATATTAACAATAAAAACTTAGACCCTACCAGAATTAAAAGAAAGTATAAATTCTTTTCAGGTAATCCATCAAATTAAAGTCATCTTTAGAATACTTTTCCAACTTACTATAATCGCCTCCATGGTTTTACCCAGTAGTACTGCAATTATCACATTAGAAAAGCTCTGAACAAAACACTCATAATTTTAATAACAAATTATGGTGCCAATTCCCATAGTCACGTCACGGGGTTGTCACCGTGACAGTTAAAATTTGCTGTTCTTGTAGTCACGCTCGTGACAACCCTCACGAAAATCTAGTGACAGTCATCACGCAGTTTTTATTCGTGAGAGTTGTGTGTTTTTTTTAATTAAGGAAATTTTGTATTTTTTTTAGAAAAGAAAATGAGTAAAAATAAGAAGTAAGTAAAATTAAACAAAATTATTAATATAAATGAAACGATTATTAATCAATATTGACAAAAAAAAAATATTTTTACAGTATAAAAATTATAAACAGAAAACAATTTGAATGTTTGGTTGCATGTATGGCAGAAAACGTTTACTTGGCTAGAAATGTTATGCCAAATAAAGACGATTATAGGAAAATTTGGAAAAGTATTTCAGATAAGTTTAACAGCTTAGGACCACCCATAAAAACAATGTCGGAGTGGCAGAAGGTTTGAACAATTTTAGATCCTTTTGTGTTTATATTTTAATTTTTTTGATATTCTAGGTATGGACAGATATGAAATTAAAAGTAAGGAAAAAAATAGGTGTCAATAAAAAAGAATTGAAGGCAACCGGGGGTGGACTGAATAAATTATATGAATTCACTTCTTTAGAAGAAGAAATTGTAAGAATCTTGCAACTGGATAAAGTAGCAAATTCAGGTGGAGAAATTTTTGGTCTAGAAGAGGACGTACAACGAGATATCTCATCTGGAATGGTCACAGAAATAATTGACATTTCTAGCAGCAACAATGAGGGTTTATTTGAAATGTTGGAAGACCAAATGTTATAAAATGTAACAGCCAATGTCTTAACTGAAGTTGAAGATTATAACAACAAAAGCAATAAAAAGATTAATGATGATAAAAAAAAAAACACTTTTAACGAAAATTTAAAAAAAAAAACCATTCACAACATCAAAATTGAAAATTGCAAACAAAGAAGCTGTTGATGAAAGAATGGTTGTCATAAACAAACAAACGGACATTCTTAAATCAATATCTTCAAAAATGGATGAATGTGTACGTTAAAGAAAAAGAAATCCAACTAAAAGAAAAAGAAATCCAACTAAAAGAAAAAGAAATTCAACTAAAAGAAAAAGAAATTCAACTAAAAGAAAAGGATTTAAAATTAAAGGAACGTGAAGTAAGACTGAGGGAAGAGAAATTAGGACTGCAAGAAAATAAAAAATTTGAAAAACCTCATTTTGAAAACGGAATATTTAACCTAAAAGCAAAATTAGATTTTGAAAAAGGAATTTAAAACAATTTTTATTTTATAATTCTTTTTTGCATACATGTGTAAGTAAAATGAAGTACAAAATTTATTCGTTCGTTTTATTTTTTTTTTTTAGCTAACAAATAGAATTCATTATATGTCTTCTAACTTCAACCCCAATATTATTTAATGGTTCTTCCATTGGATGGTCTTCTAAAATCTCTGTTTCGACATTGGAGGAATTTTCGTTTTCATTGTTAACTATTTCCCGCTGAATCCTAATGTTGTGTAAAGCACAACAAACATTTACAATTTTTGAAACTTTTGCTGGACTGTAATGGAGCTCCCTAGCTCCAAGCAAGCATCTGAATGTGTGTTTGAGTACGCCAATTGTCCTTTCAACCACATTTCGAGCTCGAGAGTGCTTCAAATTGAATCTGCTCTGCTTGTCATCCATCACAGTACGAAATGGTGTGATTAGGTACGGTTTTAGGGGATAACCAATGTCGCCTACAAATTAAAGGCTTATATAAATTTAAGCAATATTACAATGGTAATAAATTTTACTTAAGATCCATGTATTCCTTTCGCCTTGCTGATATTTTGTTTCCAGTTTGCTGCAACTCCAAATAAATGAATCGTGGGATGAACCGGAGTAATTAGCATCCACATAAGATATTTGCATGTTGGAATCGCAAATCTAAAAGAAAACTTTTTTATTATGTTCCTTATAATAGATATTACAGTTACTTACTATCATAACATTTACACTATAAAATCCTTTACGATTATAGTATAAATGACATATGTCTTTTGGTGGAGAAATTATTTTGACATGAGTTCCGTCCTATAATACCTGGAAATCCTGTCCTTATGAAAAATTCCTTTTTTATTTCATCTTTTTCTTGCTCTGTAGTTGGAAACTTTATGTGGTTTTTACATATGGTTTTTTCGAAAATATGTTGGTTGTGATAAACCAACGTTAAAATCGTTTCCAGCACCTGTTTGGTAAGAACCTTCAGCAAGGAAACGTAATTTCATCCTCTTCGTCTTCTTCCTCGTCAGATGACCACCACAAATATATACAACTCATTTTAATTTTTGAATTTATAAACTTAAAAAAAAACGCTTTTGATTTTCAATATTTATTATTATTGGAAATGTCAAACAAATATGTGTTACCATCGTATAGCAAAATTTTGTCACGTCACTCTCCGTGACTATGGGAATAAAGCATTCTCCGTGACGTGACAACAAGGTGACAATCGTCACGAAAGTGACGTGACTATGAGAATCGGTGCCTATAATAACCAAATAAAAATTAACGACAACATTCAGAACAATCTTAATATTTTACAGAAAACTATAAACAAAAATCACATATTAATTGACAAATTTTTAAATGACGTTTCAATGGAAAATAAAAATATAACCAAACAATTGCAATACTTGCAGATACTTACCAATATTCACCTTTTAAACGACGAAATTGAGAAAATCCAAGAAAACGTGATCTTCTCCAAACCCCAAATAATAGGTAGATTAATCTTAACACCAGAGGAAATAAATCTTTATAATATCGACGTTTTTAAAATTCAGGAACTTAAGAGTTCCTTAGCAACAACAAATGATAATAAATTAGTATTTGTTTTGGCAATACCAGTTTTAAGCACCGAAAAGGTTATTAAATACAAAATATTTTGATTACCAAATACAAAATATTTTGATTACCTAACTTTGAACTAGTTGATATTCCAAGTTCTGATATTATATCTTTCAAAAATAAAACATATTATCTTACCCAGGAGATTTGCAATTGAAAAATAGCAATTAACTTCAAATTGTATTTCAAACCTTTTTATAATGTCATATGATAATTGTTCTAAAACTACTGAAAAAAGTTACAAGATAGAAGATGGTTACAATGGTTCGTATTGTAGCAACTTTTCCCTTCAACAAATGAAAATTCTGCTTTTAAATACAGTCTATGTATACCTATCACACTATAAAAATTATTTTCATTCATATACAAAACTATTTCTAGGATTGCATATATTTGGGATGAACGATTTATGCAGTCTTTGAAATAAAGCAAAAATTAATATAAAGAGGGGTTAACATAATGCTCGATTTTAAAGGTTAATTGTATGAGTTAAGAAAAATAATTATATTTTTTAATTTCATGGAATTTACCGTTAGCTTTTTGAGTTTATAAAAATTTGGAAAAGCTTGCGGTTTCGGAAATATAAGGTGTCAAAAATTCAGATTTTGCGAATTTCAAGAGGTGATAACTTGAGAGGGGGTAGAGATGGAAAAAAATGTTCTTCTAACGAAATGAACTATTTGTTAATGTCTAAAAGCCCCTAAAATTTTAAAGTTCTTGAGTATGGTGTCTAGAAGAAAAACGACATCAAAAATTTGGAAAAAAAGGACTTTAGATAACGGCAAATTTGAACGGCCATTTTGTTTTTCTAAAGTTTAACTATAGTATACTGCGCTAGGGAAAGCAAGCTACTGCCTTTCTGCGTTTGCAAAATTTCAAAAATGCTTATGGTTTCATTGCAACAAATATTTAAAAAAGGCCATTTTTAGGGTTTTGGGGGGGGGGTATAACTTCTAGAGGGGGGGAGATAGGTAAAAATTTTGTTCTACGGAAATAAGTTTCAAGTGAAGATCTATGCACGTATAATTTCAGCTTTCTATCTTCAAGGGTGTAGAAGTTTTGTAAACAAAAAAAGTGTCCACGGACGGACGGACAGAGTGAAACTAATAAGCACTTTTTTCAAAAAATTTTTTGGAAAAGTGCTAATAAATAAAGGTATGATTTTAATAATAAATGCTCAAAACCATACTTTAAAGAGCGATTTTAATGATATAACATATTTACTAAATAAAAATTATATAATTTACTTTAACAATTGTACTATTCAAATAAATAATATTAAACTTTCAAACAAAAATAAAGAGTTTAAGTATAATATCATTATTCCGAATTATACCACAATTAAAAATATTAAAAATACAATTAAATTAGAGCATTTAAATCTAAAGCAATTAGAAAATAATAAAGAAATTCATGAAATTAAAAATAAAAGAAATTTTAATGAAAATTTAACATATTTTAACACAATTTTTGTAATAATAATGCTTTTTATTTTAATCATTTTAAGTTATATGTTAATTAAAGCAAGAAAAGAAAAACCATTAAAGAATATACATAAATAAAAGTGATCCTCAATGTTTTGTCCAGAAGAACAAAAATCTTAAGGATGGGGAAGTTATATATCCGACCAATGAGATTTTATCTAGAATAATAGAACTAAACTCTATTAGTCCTAAAAGTAATAAAATATAAAATTTATTATACGATTCTTAAAATTTCAACTTAAACAATTTTATGACTTATTTAAATTCAAACATAAGAATCATAATTTCTGATTTCTTCTTTTTTATACCCTGCACTTCGTGAAGGGTATATTAACTTTGGTATGGAGTTTGTAACTACTTGAAGGAGTCATCTGCGGTATGGACATATATATATATTCTTGCTCAGCGTAAAATTCTGCGTCGATTTAGACATGTCCGTCTGTCCGTCCGTCCGTCCGTCCGTCCGTCCGATCGCACGATAACTCAAAAACGAATAATGCAATCGACACCAAACTTTCACAAGTTTTTTCTTTTGTGCCAAGGACGAGCCCTATTGTTATTGGACCAATTCGAACAACGGGTTCGGGTAGCTGCCATACAACTCAAAGAGTTTATTTTAAATATTTCAAAAACTAATGAAGCTATAAATATAAAACTTTGTATACATGTGTCCAATTATATTCTACACATGCTCTAAAAATTATAATGGGATAGCTGCACCGGTTTGGGTGGCTGCCATACAACTCCAACAGCAAATTTTTTATATTCGGCAAAATAATAAAGTCAGATTCATGAAACTTGGCAGTCATGTGTCCAATTAAAGGTCAAATATACTTCTGAAGTTTTAGAGGAATTGCTTTACAGGTTCGGGTACCTGCCATACAACTCCAGAAGCTAATTTTAAATATTTGGAAAAATAATAAAGTCAGATTCATGAAACTTGGCAGTTGGATGTCCGATCATAGATCAGATATATTTGTGAAGTTTTAGAGGAATTGCTTGACAGGTTCGGGTACCTGCCATACAACTCCAGAAGCTAATTTTAAATATTTGGAAAAATAATAAAGTCAGATTGATGAAACTTGGCAGTTGTGTGTCCAATTATAGGTCAGACATATTTCTAAAGTTTTAATGGGATTGCTTGACAGGTTCGAGTAGCTCCCATACAAGTCTTAAAGCTTATTCTTAATACTTGGAAAAATAATAAAGTCAGATCCATGAAACTTGGCAGTTGTGTGTCCGATTATAGATCATATATATTTGTGAAGTTTTAGTGGAATTGCTTGACAGGTTCGGGGCTTGCCAAACAACTCCAAAAGCATATTTTAAATATTTGGAAAAATAATAAAGTCAGATTCATGATACTTGGCAGTTGTGTGTCCGATTGTAGATCAGATATATTTGTGAAGTTTTGATGGAATTGTTTGACAGGTTCAGGTACTTGCCATACAACTCCAAAAGCTAATTTTAAATATTTGGAAAAATTATAAAGTCAGATTCATGAAACTTGGCAGTCGGATGTCCAATTATAGGTCAGACATATCCGTGAAGTTTCTATAGAATGACTTCACAGGTTCGAGTAATTGCTACACAATAACGAAAGGTGCAGGGTATTATTCAATCGGTTTATACCGACTGAAACGTTTTTACTTGTTATTATTCTTATTATTATTTCTTAAGTACTTGACCTATCCTAATTTTGAACAAACAATTAAAATATAAAAAACTAACATGACGCAAACATGAAATTATTTTTTTCGTTCATTAAAATTGAAGGATCATATTACAAAACGGCGAAATAAAAATTGGTTTCACAATTTCCTTTTCAAGTGCAACAAACAAAATTTATTGCATTTGAAAAGAAGAATATTACATAAATTATATTTTTTTTTCTTGTTTTAATAAATTAATGTTACTATGTAAGAAATTGAACAAAAATCGATTTGATTTTTGAATACTTTTATAATAAGATTTTA